TATATATATATATATATATATATATATATATAAAATATATGAAAAAAATCATGTGGGTACTCAAATGAAAGCTCTCGACGAGCTTAACATCAGGATGAGCTTATAATATAAATTATTAAATAATTTTAATAAAAATTTCTTTAATTTTAAAAAAAAAAACCTACCTCAGTATGACGAGCATAGTAGCTAGTAGGTTGATCAGCCTGATCAGTGCTCTCACTAACAAATCCAGCGTTCCCTTCTAAGCCAGGCATGGAAATAGGAACTTGGTAGCTGGTGGAGACATTCTGCTCGACAACGCTTTCAACTTGATTGTCCTCGTAGCTGGAGCTGGGCACAGCATCAATGCTGCCCCCAGAGCTGCTGTCAGGGTTGAGATTGTAACTTGAAGTCGGGATCTCTGGAACTCCGTTGTTGTGAATGCTCGTGTGCTCAGCATCGACACTAGTGTCAGGAATGACACTAGAGGAAGCGATGTTGATTTCTTCACACGTCGGAATTTCGTAAGAAGAAGTGCTAATAGCACTCTCTTGATCCTGGTCTCGTTCCTGAGTCTCCGGAGTCTCGGGAACGTAAGAAGAGCTCGCTGTCTCGTCTTCATTAAAGTTGGCACCAGTTCCGCTGGCAGTTCCAGCAATGTTGCAAGAATTCCTGTCGTCTCCCATGAACGAGGTTCCAATCCCGTCAATATCATTCGACTGGGAGGGAATATTGCCTTCTTGACTGAGTTCACCGTCAGTCTCGATGATGCCGTCTCCGTCGACGTTGTCTGGCTTCTCTACTTCGTAGCTCTGCGTCGGGAAGTCCGGGTCGTCGATCCTCGCCGGGTCCTCGGAGAAGGACTGCGTTGGAACGTTGTAAGACTGCGTAGCTTCGGCTTTTACGTCATCGTAGGATTGAGTCGGTGGCTCAGACTCTTCGACCATCGCCTCTTCGTAGGCTACTGGTGAGGCTTCTGTTGATTGAGATTTAGACTGTGTTGGAATCTCCGAAGATGGCTCGTAGGATTGAGAAGGCTCTGATTCTTCAACTTCCATTAGCTCTTCTTTTGATTCGGGTTTGTAATTTATCTGAAAATTTATTTATTCATTATTAATATTAGCAACTTTGCAGTCACTGCGTGACTGCAATAACTCTTAAATTATATATAAATAAAATTTTGCTTATTAAATAATTAATTGTGTTAAATTGCACTGTACTTTCTTAAATATTGACGTTTTTTAAGATATAAGCTCATCTTGATGTTACAATTATCAAGAGCTTTCATTTGAATACCCACATGCATTTTTTATATATTTTTGATATATTCATATATATACTATATATTTTGAAGATATAAGCTCATCTTAATGTTACACTCATCAAGAGCTTTCATTTGAGTACCCACATGAATTTTTGGTATATTTTTTATATATACATATATATAATATATATAAATATATGAAAAATTGATGTAGGTACTCAAATGAAAGGTCTCGATGAGTGGAATGTCGGGATGACCTTATATCTGTAAAAATGTCAATATTCCACAAGGTACAAGGTCATTTTTTTATTATTGAGATTTTTTAAGATGTAAACTCATTTTAATGTTATACTCATTGAGACCTTTCATTTAAGTATCCACATGCATTTTTGATATATTTTTCATATATTCATATATATATAATATATAAATATATAAAATATATGAAAAAATTAATGTGGGTACTCAAATGAAAGGTCTCGATGAGTGTAACATCAGGATGAGCTTATATCTTTAAAAATGTCATTAATTAACAAGATACAAGGTAATTTCTTAATTATTGACATTTTTTAAGATATAAACTTATTTTGTTGTTATACTCATCGGGACCTTTCGTTTAAGTACCTACATGGCATTTTTCATATATTTTATATGTTATTTGTGAAATATATAGATATATAAAATATATAAAAAATTGATGTGGGTACTCAAATGAAAGGTCTCGATGAGTATAACATCAAGATGAGCTTAAATTTTTAAAAATGTTGATATTTAAGAAAATACAGTGCAATTTACTATTTAATAAATCAAAATTTTATTTATTTCCCACAACTCCCGGCAATCACGTAGTGACTGCCCACTTGCCAGTTATTAATATAAACTAACCTGTTGATTTATTTCTTGGACCTGTATATCCTGCTGAAACTCTCCCTGAATTTGATTATCCAAAGACTCTTGAACCTCCTGAACCTGTTCTTGAACCGCCTCCTCAACCGTCGGTTCAATACTCCCAAGTCCACAAGCTTCAGGAACCTGTTCCTGCTGAACCTCCTGAATCTTCTCCAGAGTCTCCTCAACTGGCGCCTGAACCTCACTCTCCACATGATCAACCTCCATAGAAGTTTCATCAGCAACAATGGGCATATCTCTCACCTCCCCACTTTGTTCCTGGGCAGCTTCTTCAAACACTTGCCCTTGCTGCCCCTTAACATCATCACTAAACCCATCATCAATAATGGGCATCGAGGGAGTGGGCGCAGTGCTATCGATAGTAATATTTTCCGCCATCGAAACCGCATAATTCTGGCCCTCGCTGCTGGGCAGCACTAAATAATTCTCCGCGCTGGCCACTGGCGCTTCTACTTCCCCAATATCCGGCATAGAATTCCCGGGAAGCTCGCTCTGGATGTACGTAATCGCAGGATTGGTCATCGTAATGGGCATCTCCAAGTTAGGAGCAGAGTGGGCAGCAACGGCGTCAACTTGAATGGGCAGACTCGTGGGCACTTCAAGCGGAGTCATAATTGGTTGATTGAGCGTCAAAGAAGTCTCCAAGACCGACGGCGAAGAAATTGGCTCTGAGGTCGGTATAATAGTCGACTGTAAAATAGTCTGGTTGATTAAACTAGTCGCGGTCAGTCCGGCGGTCAAGCTGCCCACTGTAGTCTCGGGCAGAATTTCTTGCTGGAAGTCAGTATTGGCCAGCGCAGCTGCTAAAATGTCCTGATTCGTCGTCGGAACTTGTCTAACAAAATCACTGGAACTTGAAGCTCCAGCTGGAGGTCCTGGAGGGGCAGAATTGTCAAACTGGAGGACAATATTGTCCAGATTTCCTTCACCTAACGAAGCTGGATCAATATAAAGCGTCCTAGTTCCATCAGGGTTCTGTATAGTTCCCTCTAAAGACATCAGAGTATTATTATCCAGCGGCTGGATCTGCCCCTGGTCGTCAATAGTCACTAGCACATAAGTCTGAGTCCCATCGCTGCTTTCAGTGGGCAGCGCCATGATCTGAGGGGCAGCCTTCTCCTCTTTCTGCTCAAGAACCTCCAGATTCTCCGTTGCTGCTACCGAAGGTCCAGCTGTTGCTGTTGGAACTAGCCCGGGAACTGGCAGTGAATTAGAAGGGCCAGGCTGGCCAGGCTGCCCAGGAGACCCAGGAGCCAGCTGCCCAGTGAATTCTTTAGACTTAATCTTTGGGAGACTCTTAACCTGGGGTTTAATCTCGGGTTTCGTCCTTCCTCGCCCCCTAGGCGACTTTACAATTTTGTCGACTCCCTGAACCGGGCTGCCCATGGGCATCCCTGTTCCCGGAGGTCCAGCGGGCCTGATGAGCTTCTTAGTGGGCAGCGGAGTCTTCTGGGTCATCACGATGCCCGTGGGTTTTGAATTTCTGACCGGAGAGCCAGCAGGGCTGATGGGAATCTTCTGCATTTTGGCCACCATGGGCAGCCCCTTTTGCAGCTGGTATGTCACCTTGGGCCCAGGCTTTCCTGGACTCTTAGCAGCAATAGCTTTCACCTGTTGGCCAGTAATAGGAGTCAGCACCGTTCCCTTTCCAGGAACTACTCCAGTAATTTTTCCGGGCATTGGTAAAATTGTTTTAGAAGTTCCGGGGAGTAAATTACTCTTGAATTTTTGATTTAACAATTTATTCACCGGAGTGTAAACTTGGCCAGGCTTGGGGCTTAAAATAGTCTTGGGACTTCCGACAATAGACTTGCTGCCCAGTAAACTTGTGACTATTTTAGGAGACTTTGAAGTAGTAGGCGAGTCTATTTTGGGCATCTTAACCTGGCCCTTGATTAACGAATTTTTAAACGGGACCACCTTCGCTTGGCCAGACTGCGGTGACGTAAGAATGACAACTTTGCCACCCTGGGACACAATTTGAGGGTTAGTCGATGGTTTATTTCCCAGAGGAGCAGCAACCTTCGCGACTTTTGTCGTCGGCTTTCCTTGGATCATATATCTCATCTGCTGCCCACCGGCTCCTGCCTGGACAATCACATACTTGCTAGGAGTGTTTTTCTGGCTGACCATCGGAGAAGTCTTAGTATTCTGGAATTTAAGGCTCTTGATCCCTCCAACGGGTGAAGAGAGAGTCTTTATGCTTGTAATTGTAGGCTTTGCTTTGGGCTTTGTCTTCAAAATAGCGGGAGAAGCTTTCTTCTTAGGACTAGCGTCTACAGTTATCGTCTCAATATCAGAAGTTATCGGAGCCAGAGCTGGCGCTGCCCGCGGTAAAGACTGGGCAGCAGCTCTTAAGCCTGAGCTAGTCGGCATTATCGAAGAAATTACCATGGGCATCTGCTCAATGCTGTCCGGAGTCAAATCTTCGCTTAACACAAATGGCATTGAGTTGATGTCAAGCTCCATGCCTTCCAAATTAGAAGACTGGATCAATTTCTGCCCCTCTGCGATTGAAATAGTCTCCACAGTCTCTGGCTGCCCAATTTGTAATTTATCATTTGCATCAGCTGCTTTTAAAACTTGGATCTTCTGCCCGTAGGACATCCCACCCTTTCGCTTGATGCTGGGGTCTAGTTTTATTATCTTAGCTTTGGATCCAAGACGATGGTCATCTAGCTTGTGCTTTCCTTTGGGCTTTTCAAGCAACTTTGATTTTAAAATGTGCATCGGCTCTTTTAGCTGGACGTTCTCGATTATTCGGGGCTTCTCACGCTTTTTTACGGGAATTGTTGATTCTAATTCGTCGATCATTGGTCCGGGTGATGAAACTAGTTTGACTATTTTTTCTGGCTCTTCCAGAACTGGTTCTGAAAATTGGGCATCTGGCTTTGTTGGTTCTTCTAAAGCTTCAATTGTTTCTAAATTAGTCACTGGTTCTTCAATTAAAGTCGTTGGTTTTAATTCTTCCTGTGGAACTTTAGTTTCTTCAGAATGTCCAGTTGTTTCTGGTAGGTTGATATTATCACCTGGTTCTTCTGAAGGGATTTCTGGTGATTTAATAGCTTCTGGAGCTGGTTCAGAAGCTTCTACAGTTTCCATAGCTTGGTTTAATAATTCTAAACCTTTATCCGCTTCTAGAGGATTTATAGAATTATTTTCTTCTGGTTCAAGAATTTCGGTGGTTAATTCAATAGGTTTTTCAATTTCAGGAGGATTTATTATTTCTTCAGTCAATTTTATTGGTTCATTTTTGGGTTCTGAATTTTCAATAAAATTTTCAGAATTTTCAATTAAATTTTCTGAATTATTTTCAATTAATAATTTTTCTGAATCTTCATTCAATTTTTCAGAATTATTTTCAATTAATTCTGAAGATTTTTCTATTAATTCAGAATTATCAATTGTTTCTACAGTTTCAATTGTTTCAATAGTTTCAATTGTTTCAACAGTTTCAATTGTTTCATCTTCAATTTTATTCATTTTTTCTATTTCTTCTTCAATTTTATCCATTTTTTCCATTTCTTCTTCAATTTTATCAATTGTTTTTATTTCTTCTTCCATTTTATCAATTTTTTCTATTTCTTCTTCCATTTTTTCCATTTCTTCTTCAATATTATCAATTTTTTCATTTTCTTCTTCAATTTTATTAATTATTTTTCTTTCTTCTTCAATTTTTACACTTTCTTTTTCAATTTTTACCATTTCTTCTTCAATTTTATCAATTTTTTCTTTATTTTCTTCAATTTTTACCATTTCTTCTTCAATTTGATCTTCAATTTTACCAATTTTTTCTCTATTTTCTTCAATATTATCAATATTTTCTATTTCTTTATCAATATTACCAACATTTTCTCCGTCTTCTTCAATTTTTTCCATTTTTTCCATTTTTTCTTCAATTTTCTCCATTTCCTCTTCAACTTTATCAATTCTTTCTATTTCTTCTTCACCTTTATCAATTTTTTCCATATCTTCACCATTATCAATCACCGCACCATCCTGCCCAGAATTATCCTCACTTTTATCTTCAATAATCTCAAAAGTCTCCGTAATAACATCCTCCTCTTCTCCCTCGTCCTCCATCCCCTCCCCCTCAATCTTTGGTTTCTCTCCCAACCCCGCCTCCTCATCAACATGCTTCTTAATCTCATTCTCCAAATCAATCTGCGACTCATCAATCTGGGACAACTCAAACTTCTTAATTTGCGACTTTTTCGGCGGTAAAATCTCCACCTTCTCACTAAATCCACTCGCATCATCATCCTGATCCTCCAGATCATTCATTAGCTTAGCCCTATCAACCTGATCCTGAGTCTGGGACTCATTATAATCATCAACGGGAGTAGCTTCAGGCGCAACTGGCCCAATCTGATCCTCAATATCAATCTCAACCAGATCTTCCTTAAGAACACTCCTAATTTCCACCGCAGAAGTTAAATTAGTCAAATGAACCCTCCCTTCCTTGTCCTCCTTATCCACCTTAACCTCCTCAAAACCCTCCAGACTATCAACAGGATCAATAACCCTCTCCTTAACCTCCACAGCCTCAGTAATTTCCTCACTGACACTATCCAGAGTCTCACTCAATTCAAACTCAACAGACGGCTCCCTAACCTCAGAAACTTTATTATTCTTATTCTTCTTCCACCCCAGCGGTCTTCCTCTCTTCCTCTTAACCACCACCGGCTTCTCAACCTCCTTTTTTTCCTCCTCAGACTGACTATCATCAGTCCTAAAAGCGAACCCACTGCTGCTGCTCGGACTTGAGTAAGCATCCTCCAGATACTTCTTATTAGGCTTTCGTCTTCTGCCTGAATAAGATCTCTCCGTGTCAGACTCAGACTGCGAAGTCTTCCGTTCATACTCCTTAATCTTAGGACCTACCTCCTTAACCTCCTCTTTAACCAAAGAATTTAAATTCTTAGCTTTAGGAGGGCGTCCTCTGCCTCTTTTAACAGGAGCAGGAGTCTCACTATTTTTTTCCAAAGAACTTCCGATTATTTCGTTCAATTGCGACCAGCCCATACTCAAATTCCCCGATTTCTGCCCAATTGTACTCCTAACTGGTAGAGTTTCTTCTTCTTCTATCGTTACACGCTCCAAATCTGAGTAGCGCATAATTTTAGATTTTTTTTCTAGCTCAGGAGAATTTTTTAAAGGAACTTTTTCATCTTCTGCAGATTTTTCTGCCTCTATTTCTTCTGTTTCAATAATTTCAAGAATTTCCAACTCTTCTTCTTTATTATCAACTTCCATTGGAATTTCTTGGTCCTGATCATTTTTAGAGGATAAATTATCAGACTCTGAAGCTACTGCTCCCAATAATTCAGGACCTTCCGATAAACCAGAAGCTTCAGACTTTAAATCCGACTCAGATCTAGATAAAATTAAAGTGTCAGAAGTTCCTGATTTAAAACTCAATTCTTCTTCTTCTTCTAATTTTTTTTTCGGAGAATTTAACGAAGTTGTTTTAGATATTTTAGCAACTAAATTATCAATATCATCAGCTTCTTTATTCATTTCTTCTAATAATTTATTATCATCATTTAATTTATTCATTTCGTCTCTTTTATTTTCCAACTCCTGACTTTTATTAAACTCCTTAATAATTTCCTTCTTTAAAGAAGTTTTTTCACCAAAAACACGACCGAGTTTTCGTACAGGTATTGTAACAGGTGGCTCAGGTTCGTCTTCATCAAAATCAAAGCAAGAAAATTTAGATTTTTCATCCTTATCATTTAATTTAATTAAATTATTTTCATTATTTTTAGGAGCATTTTCTGCCTCAGTTAAATTATCTTTTAATTTTTCTGGCTCTAATTCTTCTTTATTATTTTCTTTTAATTTTTCCGTCTCTAATTCTTCTTTATTATTTTCATTTAATTTTTCTAACTCTTCTTTAGGAGAATTAAAAGATTCAGTATTAATTTCTTCATCACTAGACCCAATATCCCAATCAGCTAATAATTTTTCCCGTAATTCAGGATCAGTTTTCTTCTTTTTAACAATTTTATTATCAATATTTTTACTGTACTTACGCTTATTAGTCTCTCCGGGGGATTTGTCATTAGAAGAAGCTTTAGCGGACATGCTTTTGGTCTTCCGAACGTATTTGCGCTTGGGAGACTCTAGAGAATTTCCGGAGTGAGTCCTGGAAGCTTTGGGGGGCAAAGAAGCTCTAGGACGAAGAGGACTCTCGTACCCGGAAGATTTGTGGCTCCGGACGTGGGATATTAAAACGTTGACCCGGGTGGAGGTGAATGAGCAAACGGGACAGTCGTAGTTGCGGACATTAGTGTTCTCTGGGGTAGAAGGCAGGCTCGAGCCGGAGTATTGGTTGGTTCGGATGCGAACTTCGTGGTCGCTGCTTCCGCGGAAGCGCGGGTGGGTTATTTTACGCTGGGGGTTGGAGGGCCCGAAGGACTTGCGGTCTTCTTTGTCTTTTTTCTTCTTAGGAGGCTTTTTCTCGCCCCCGAAGAGGTATGAGATGTCGGGTTTTTCTTCTGGGGAAAATTTTGGGGTGTTCAGGATTTCTGGGTCCCCGTTGGTTAGTCGCTCGGCTGTGGCTACGTCGTCCGGGAATTTTGACATCCAACCGGAACCTTCTTTTGTTTTTGATCTGTATTTGTCTGGGGAATAAATTAATTAATTAATAAATAAATTTTAATGTTGAAAATTAATGAAATTAGCAATTAAAAAAATTTTTTTTTTAATAAATTACAAATAAAAGAAGAATTTTAAAAAATTGCACAGATTATTTTTCAAAGTTTTTACATGTGAGATTTATTATAAAATTAAAAAAAGACCTTTTATCTTGTGAAATATTAATAATTTTATAAATATAAGCTCATCCCGATGTTACACTCATCGAGACCTTTCGTTTGAGTACCCACATCAATTTTTCATATATATTATATATTTATATATATGTATATATGAAAAATATATCAAAAATGCATGTGGGTACTCAAATGAAAGCTCTTGATGAGTGTAACATCATGATGAGCTTATATCTTTAAAAAGGGCAATATTTACGAAAGTACAGTGCAATTTAATAAATAAATAAATTTTTAAAAGCAAATTTAGTATCATTAAAAAGCTCTTAATAAGAATTAATGCTTCTTTTGTTTTTTATATTTTATTTAGTAGTCAATTTTTTTGAGAAATTTTTAATAATATTTTTAAAATTAATTCTATAGGACTATATTACTTTGAAAATTCATTTAAAAATTACCCAAACTAGTCTTATAAATATAAAAAAATTATTAAGCCAAAATTTTTCTTATTTATATTATTTATAATAAAAAAAAAAAAAAAACTCACCATATCCTTTCTTTAAAAATTCATCCTTTTTTTTACAATTGTATTTGTAAATCTGTTGCAAGTTCCTTACAAGCTCACTAAAAAATAACAAATAATTATTTACAAACAATTCAAATTTTTTTGTATAAAAAAAATAATAAGTTATAATATAGTTAGCCGAAATTCTTCTTAATTTATTAAATAAGAACTAAAAACTATTTTGAAAAATTGCACTTACAGTTTTTGACGTTTTTTACACGTGCAATTTTTTTTGTTCATTAAAAAAAAAATTCTAAAAATTTTTAAATGCCAGCTAACTTAATTTTCAATTATAAAAAAATTAGCCGACATTTTTAATGTTTCGATGTAGTCAATTTTTTTGAGAAATTTTTAATAATATTTTTAAAATTAATTCTATAGGACTATATTACTTTGAAAATTCATTTAAAAATTACCCAAACTAGTCTTATAAATATAAAAAAATTATTAAGCCAAAATTTTTCTTATTTATATTATTTATAATAAAAAAAAAAAAAACTCACCATATCCTTTCTTTAAAAATTCATCCTTTTTTTTACAATTGTATTTGTAAATCTGTTGCAAGTTCCTTACAAGCTCACTAAAAAATAACAAATAATTATTTACAAACAATTCAAATTTTTTTGTATAAAAAAAATAATAAGTTATAATATAGTTAGCCGAAATTCTTCTTAATTTATTAAATAAGAACTAAAAACTATTTTGAAAAATTGCACTTACAGTTTTTGACGTTTTTTACACGTGCAATTTTTTTTGTTCATTAAAAAAAAAATTCTAAAAATTTTTAAATGCCAGCTAACTTAATTTTCAATTATAAAAAAATTAGCCGACATTTTTAATGTTTCGATTTGTTCTTATTTCTTAAATTCGAACAAAAAAATATTTTCTGCCCTCCAGCCGGAAAGTGGCAACTTTCTGGCCGCTGCGCTAAACAAAGTTGCCACATTCCGGCTACGTCGAGCAGAAAAATAGTATACACACCTTGACCAGTAAAAAGTAAAGCCTCAGACCACATGTTTGTCAACCTCGGCTTCGCCTCGGCCAACAATTACATGTGGTCTGAGACTTTTCTTATTTTACTGGCCTAGGTATGTAATATACTATTCTAAAAAATTGCACTTAAAGTTTTTGAAGTTCTTTACAAGTGCAATTTTTTTTTATTTTTTCCAATCATTTTGTCATTAAAAAAAGAACTTCTAAAAATTTTTAAATATCAGCTAACTTAAAATAAAAAAAAATACTTACAATTTATCCTCTTGAAAAAATTTAACCGCAGCAATCAATCCTTTTTTATCAAACTCAGTTTTAAGATCCTCCGGTAATTTTTCATACCCTTGGACTTGTCCAGGCCACCAGCAAGCGCCAAGTTTAACCCAGACAACTTCCTCGTCCTCGTACTTGATCTCAGTTTGGTCACACATTTTAACCTTGACCAATTAATTACTCCCTTAATAAAACTTGTAACAAAAACAAGCTCCCGTTTAATCACCTAGACAAACAACAACAACAACTTTTATTACAATGATTAAAACACGAGGTCAATGCACTAGCAAAAAAAAAATCAGATAGCATTTATGCAATTATTTAATTTTTGAGGTTAAAGCTAGCGTGTTTATAAAAGGCAAGCCAGCTTAAAATCTTACCCATAAAATATCCAACTGCAGTGTTGTTAGTCAGGAGAATATCTGACAAACATAATAAAGGTGTAGGCTAGGTGTTAGTGACTGTGATGATGATGATGTATGTCTTGATAGTGATGGTGGGTATTGAAATCGCGGGAAAATAATTCCGCGTCTATTTTCCTTCCTTAAAATTCACTCTCTAGTTTTTCATCACAATAAATCTGCTCACAATAAATAATCACTGTTAATTTTTATTAATTATTTAATTAAATAATTACTAATAAATAAATAATAATAAGTTTTACTATTAGCGCACCATTAAATTAAATAATATTATTGTAATTAATGCCGGTTAAATAAATTATCATTTTATCACCAATCCGTCATTTTTTTAATATTATTTTATTTTATTTTTTTTAATACTAAATAATTATTGCAATAATTATTAACAGAGCACTCAATTATTATTTTTAATGATGTTTTTTAGTAATTATAATTAACTAAATAAAATGAAAGGACTTGCCTTGGACGTAGTCGTTCCTCAGTCCGTTTCTATTCGTTCCGACGCTTGCAGTCACATTTTAACCTGTTCCTCCAGTCAACTGTTTATTTATATATTTTATATATATTTTTTATTTACATTTTATTCCTGCTAAAATTTAATTAAAAAAAAATTTTTTTTTAATTATTTCACTTTTATTTAAAACATGCAATTGTTTTTTTATTTTAGTTAATTAAAAAAAAAAAAGACACTGGCGGCTGATTGGAAACCGAAAAGTGGAACTGGAAATATATTTTGTAATTTAGTTTTTTTTTTTTATGAGCACACTTGAGAAAAAAATTGGGTTTTTATTTATTTACACGCACTTAAAGGTAGAAATTTTTTTAAACAAATGATTAGTTTAGTTTTTAATTGTTATTTGTAAGTTTTTATCATTTTTTATCCACTCGCATTTCCCAAAGTGCAATGCGACTTATATACACTATACTATGTGGATATATCGGATCGCACTGTATAGTTTAGACAGTTCGATTAATCGAACTCTGTCGATTGTTGAAAATTATGAAAATTTTAAGTTAGCCATTTTGAAATTTTTTAATTAAAAAATTTAAAAAAAAATAAATTCACTGATAAAAAACTTAAAAAACTATAAGTGCAATTTTTTAGAAATATTTTTTTAGCTGTAATTTAATAAATAGCAAAATAAAAAAAATCAAAAATGTCGGCTAACTTTATTATTATTTAAAATGAAGTTAGCCGACATTTCAAAATTTTTTATTGAAATTTTAATTAAAAAATTAAAAAAAAAAATTTCACTTGTAAAAAACTTAAAAAATTATAAGTGCAATTTTTTAGAAATATTTTTAGTTATAATTTAATTAATAAGAAAAATCAAAAATTTTTTAGACGTTTGCTAACTTCAGTATGAAAAAAAAATTTATTTTTTTTTAAATTACTAATTTAATTTATTTTAAATGTATTTTTGTAAGTTTAATTTTTAATTATTATTTATTAAAAACAAAATTAAATTTGTAAGATTTAAAATTAAGCGCGCTTTTTTTTTTAAATTATTTTTTGTTTAAATTTTAACTTAAATGTTAGAAAATTATTTTTAAAAATAAAAAAAAAATTTTTTGGAGGATATAGTGATTAAAAATAATAATTATTTATGAGTAATTGTTAAAATAATTAAAAGCGGAAGTGAGTCAAGTAAAAATAAAAATGTGCGTACGTGTTGAACTGTGATACGGCGTAAAAGTAACCTTAAAAAACAATAATTTAAATTAGAGCGATTGAAAGAAAGTAATTGACAATTTTGATAAATAATTATTGAGAAATTGATAAATTATTATTGAAAATTGGATTTAATTATGGCTACCGCGGTGCCTTCGAGGTTTGCTGTACTTGCTATTGATGACGATGACTCTAAACCGAAAAAAAGTAAAAAAACTACGAGTACTAACAACAACAATGATAAAAATGTTAATAACAAACAACTGAAAAATAAAGTTAATAATAAAAACAAGCCACAAGTACAACAAAATTCTTCTCAGCCTAAAAAAGATGACAAAAAAAAATCAAAAGTAATTTTTTTTTTTATTTATTGATTTATTTATTAATTAATTATTTATAATTTAATTTTATTAATTTTTTTTTAGCAAAATAAGAAGAAGAAAGTTGAAAAAGAGAGTCAGCAATGGGAACAGTGGAAAGAAAAAGATTCAATGGTAATTAATTTTAATAATTATAATTATTATATTTTCTTAAATTTAAAAAAAAAAATTTTATTAAAAATGATAAAAAAAATTGACATTTTTAATTATTTTGAATTTTCTCTATCAATTTTTTTTGCAATAATTTATTTGTTTATAAAATTATAAAATATTTAATGAATTAATTTTTAGTCTGTAGAAGAAACTTATAAACAACAATTGCACGAAGCATTGGTACTCTCAAAATTAGCTTACGAAGAGCAAAAGGAAAATAGTGTGAAAAAAAGTCCGGATCACTCGAGTAAGAAATCCAGCGGTAATAAAAATAATAAAAAATCAGCTACTATGTCATTGGAGCAGTTTAACAATTTGAATTCTGTTGACAAAGTTATTCAAGAGCCAGAACATGACAAGCCTAAAGGTAATTTAATTTAGAGACTACATTCGAAAATGCTCCATCTCGAGATACATACTTAAGAAATGACATTTTAGCTTGTGAACTATTGACATTTTTAGAGATATAAGCTCATCATGATGTTGCACTCATTGAGACCTTTCATTTGAGTACCCACATCATTTTTTTATATATTTTATATATTTATGTATTTCACAAATACCATATATATAAAATATATAAAAAATTCTATGTGGGTACTCATATGAAAGGTCTCGATCAGTGTAACATCGAAATGAGTTTATATCTTAAAAAATGTCAATAATTAAGAAATTACATCGTGTCTTGTGAACTTATGATATTTTTAAAGATATAAGCTCATCCTGATGTTACACTCATCAAGACCTTTCATTTGAGTACCCACATCAATTTTTCAGATATTTCATATATTTATATATATTATATATATGTATATATGAAAAATATATCAAAAATGCTTGTGGGTACTCAAATGAAAGCTCTTGATGAGTGTAAGATCGGTATGAGCTTATATTTTAAAAAACATTAATATTTTAGAAAATACAGCGCAATTTAACAAGCCATTGTTTAATAAAGCAAAATTCAATTTTTACAGAATCAGACGTTGAATTTTTTGACCGCATTGATAAAGAAACAAAGCAAGAGCTTATAAAAAACAAACAGCGTGATATTTTAAAATCACGTTTGAACCAACCAGATGATGATATATCACTCGTCCAATTAAAAGTCCAAGTTGAAAAACGCGACGCTGAGATAGAGGAATTGAAAAATATAATTGAGGCTCTGAGGAATGAATTGTCTCAGGTTAAAGAGAGAAACAAGAAGCTTTGCAATATTCTCGCTGTTGGAGAAAGTAAGTCATAAATTTTTGGACTAAAGAAAAAAAAATTTTTATTGTTTTTTTAATTTTTTAAATTAAAAATTTTTTTTTTTTGCAGTGAAAGACAAAGCTTCAGTAATTGCAGAAGTATCAAAATTACAAGAGATAAGAGACGAATTGACATCTGAAGTAAGTTTGCTACACGCGCAACTGGAACAGGAACGTTCTAAGACACGAGCCTCCAGTGCTGATTTAAAAAATACTAAAAATAAGAAAAAAGTCACTAATGACACTGCCTAAATTAGTAATTAATTATTATTAATTATTAAGTTACCGAACCAGTTTTAAAAATTATTTTTTTTTTATTTAAAAAAGGCATTTTTGTTATTTTTTTTTTACAATTTTTTAAATTTATAAAATGTGATTCATTTAAATTTATCTTCCGTAGAATAATTAGTTTTCAAAGTACAACTAGAAAATTAAAAGAAAAAAAAACTACGACTGATTAATTATTATTAAGTAATAAGCCAGTATGATTTAACTACTTAATTAACCAGTGCATTGATATTTATTTACAATTTATAATAATTCATTATTGATTGATGATATAATTATACACGTACATAATGATATAAGATAATTATTGTACTTGTTTATAAACTTCCATATTTAACTTTATACTATTTTATAACAAAGTTTAAGGAAATAAATCTATATGATTAAGAAAATGAAGTGAAAAGAAATTTTTTTAATTTAATTAAATAGAAACAATGAGTTTATATGGTTAAAAATATCATCATTGGACAAAATATAATGTAATTTTTTAATTATTGACATTTTTTGAGATATAAGCTCATCATGATGTTATACTCATCGAGACCTTTCATTTGAGTATACACATGGCATTTTTTATATATTTTATATATATGGTATTTGTGGAATATATAAATATATAAAATATATGAAAAATTGATGTGGGTACTCAAATGAAAGGTCTCGAGGAGTGTAACTTCAGGATGAGCTTATATCGTTAAAAATATCATCATTGTACAAAATACAACGCAATTTCTTCATTATTGACTTTTATATAGATATAAACTCATCCTGCCGTTACGCTCATCGAGACCTTTTATTTGAGTACCTACATGGCATTTTTTATACATTTTATATATATGGTATTTGTGGAATATATAAATATATGAAATATATGAAAAATTGATGTGGGTATTCAAATGAAAGGTCTCGATGAGTGTAACATCAGTCTAACATCGGGATGAGCTTATATCTTTAAAAATGTCATTAGTTGACAAGATACAATGTAATTTCTTAATTATTGACATTCGAATACGCTTCTTCAAAATTTTTACTATCAACAATTTAATTAATCACGATTTTTACAAATTTTATTCATAAATATTTATCCGTTGCCATAGCACTGAAAAGCGACAACAATAAAATCGTCATATCAATTTATTAAAAAATCCTAATTAATAAAATCATTAAATTTCATATTTATTATCTAAAAAATATTGAGTAAAGATAAGAAATAATGAAATTTTTTTATTAGACAGAAAAAAATCCCTTTGAAAATTTTTATGAAAGCACACGTCACTTTTTACACGTTAATCCTCATCCGGATTACAACATACACAAGCCTCATTCATTTTTATATAGTTAAAAAAAAAAATAATTATTTTTTTTTCCATTTCTTTCTTCATTCTATTTTTATTTACTATTTTTTTTACAGCTTTATTTTTTTTTAATTCGAATTACACGTTTCGCCAACATTTTTTTCCTTCTACTATTATTATTATTATTGCCAAACGAGTAATCTAAAAAAAATCGTTCGATACAATATTTTTTTTAGCTTTGTGTCACTCTAGATTTTTTTTTTCATAAAAAATCTTTTTTAAAATAAAATTATTAAAGAATATTTTATCAGTTAAGAATATTGGATTTTAGTAAATTGTACTTAGCATTTAAATCGAGGAGTTTTGACCAATAAAAGGGGCATTAGTGTTAAGTGGGTGAGCTGTCGGATGAAAAAAAAAGGAGAAAGTTAAGGGGTAGTTATTAAACCATTAAAGTCACTCTTATATTTATTTATTTAAAAATCAGAGTGTTTAATTGTCGATAAGTGTAACGGAGAGGTGGAATATAATAAAATAAAGAGCGGAGGGATATGAAACGCCGGAGGGTGGATTTTAGATGGGGGAAAGAAGGGTGGAACGGATTCATTATCTGACAGTAGTCTATTGTCATTTCTGCGGGTTGAGATTTATTCAGATCCATCACTTGGTTCTTAAATTTTATTATTCTAAATTATTATAATTTATTTTTTATTATATTTGTTATTATTATTATCCTTTTAAAATTTCAATAATTAAGAAATGGCCTTGTATCTTGTGAACTATTGACATTTTTTAAGATATAAGCTCATCCCGATGTTACACTCATCGAGACCTTTCATTTGAGTACCCACATCAATTTTTCATATATTTTATATATTTATATATATTATATATATGTATATATGAAAAATATTAGGGGTGTGCGAATAATTCGAACTTACGAATTATTCGTTTCGAATCGAATATTAATATTCGATTCAAAATTCGAATACGAATAATTTGAATTTTCAAATTATTCGAAATTCGACGAATAATTCGAAAAAATTCGAATAATTCGAAAAATTACGAATAATTCGAAAAAATTCAAATCATTCGAATTCTTTCGAATTATTCGTCGAATTTCGAATAATTTGAAAATTCAAATTATTCGTATTCGAATTTTGAATCGAATATTAATATTCGATTCGAAACGAATAATTCGTAAGTTCGAATTATTCGCACACCCCTAATATTTTTCATATATACATATATATAAATATATAAAATATATCAAAAATGCATGTAAGTACTCAAATGAAAGGTTTTGATGAGTGTAACATCGGGATGAGCTTATATCTATAAAAATGTCAATA